TTTGCTCCTTTCCATATTCAGTTTAGATGTCTGGTCCAGGTCTAGTGATTACTTGGCTTTTGGATGTTTTTTGTCCTGTATTGTTAGGATGTTAAGTACCTTTCAAGTCATGCCATGGCCCATGCCATTCTTGTTGGATAGAAACAATCAAACACGTTAGTTAGTGCATACATATTTTTGAGTATGTAGAAATGGGGCCATCCTGGATGTGATCTATTATTCTCTCACCTCCCGGCGCCCGAAGAGAAAATGCGTAATTCATTGCGCAGTATGTATGTACTCTGAAAGCAAGGTATTACTTGTCAATGAATTGATACAGTAATATATTTAGTACTCTCTTGTTCCTTATATTTGCGTATGAACAAGTGTCTCACTTTTCACCATGCCATTGCTACTTTTTATACTTCGTGAGAGTTGGTGTGTGGCTGCCTACTGCTGTTGTTTTAACTATATACGTAATCCATTTTAGATCTGAGCATCATTCAGAGTGGAAGAGATATGTTTAGGAGAAAGCATGGGCCTGATTTCAACTCAAAAGATGCTGAGCAAAGAGAAGCAAAGGTAGGTTTAAAATTTGTCATCTCATCATAAATTTGCGGAACTATTGGAATGCACAATACATTATGTCTAATTGCTGTTTTTTTTTTGCATTCGTAGCTTTGATTCTTTGTGCAGTACTAATACCCAAACAGAGAAAATATAGTACCCCCCCTTTTACGTTCTTCGTCACATACTCATACTCATTATTTTGATCCCTTGCGCCAGCCAAGGAAACAAAAAATAAGCTAAATGAACTCAGTCTGACTGACACCTTCAACTCATCCTATGCTTACATTTTTTTTTAAACAATGGCAGGAGCTCTGCCTTTCAATTAAGACAGAATGAATTTTATGTACAAGAAAGGGTAGCCAAACATGATGCCAACCACAGGACAGCCTATGCTTACATTTATGTACTGTTAGACAAACATGTACTGTAAACTGGATCTAGCAGTGATTGTTGCTGCTTCAGGGCCTGTTTGGAACTAGAAATTTCATAGGAAAAACGCAGGAACAGGGTAAATTTCCTGCATTCCAAACGGGGCCTAAAAGGTGTATTAAGTCAACAACAAAGGGAGATATATATCAGTCTCTCTTCGGAATATTATATGTCTACATCATGAGCCAAATGGTTTATACCACTTTATTTGCTCTATAGACACTTAGTCGCCATCGCCATTCTGATCTTCACCTGTTACTGAAGTAGTACTATTTTAGGATGTCAGGACCCTCAATCTAATGCATGTACAATAATATCCCATCCAATTACACTGTGGTCCACTTTCTAACACAATGTTATGCTCTGGTACATTTAAATTGTTTTAAAGTTGTGCTTCACATTGAAATTGTTGTACATAAAAAGCGCATGATGATCACTCAAGGTGTATGTGTAATGTGTCTGAATGGACAAGTGTTCTGTACTTCTGTTCATCTAGTTGTAACATGGCTATGTGTAATATGTCTGCTAACTTTGAGCAAATTTATTTTAGTCTGTTACTAGTTGTTACACAAACCCTCCATTCAACAAACTCATATCGCGGAGAATTGAGCCTATACATGTATAATGCATACAGGCCTGACAAATGGTTTTAGTTTCTTTGTTGATGTATCAGCTATTTTCTTGACAGATGCTCATGCAACAATCTCCTATGAGCAGATAAGTGAACTGAAAGCTGCACTTGGGACTTTGTCTGCCCGTGGCGAGAAGTACTGCACTGAAGCATGCTTGAAAAGATATCTGGAAGCCCGTAACTGGAATGTTGCTAAGGCGAGAAAAATGTTGGAAGAAAGTCTGAAGTGGAGGGCAGCTTACAGGCCAGAGGATATTCGTTGGGTAAAATTTGCTTTTCCTTTTTTTGCCATCCATGCATTGCTCTAGTTTTATTTTGCTGAATCCTAGCCAAGTGACTAAACATCATATTAACTGCCTTTTAGCCTGATGTTTCTGTTGAAGCGGAAACAGGTAAAATGTACAGGGCAAGTTTCCAAGACAGGGAGGGCAGAACTGTTGTTGTCATGAAACCTACAAAACAGGAAAGAAGTTCTCTCTTTTAAAATGTCACCCTTGCTATTCTTTTCTAGTTTCTGAAAATTTTCAGTCTCCCTAGCTTCCTGAGCTCAGGATTCACCTGTATGCTATTTCAAAATTTCAGAATACTTCGTCCCATGAAGGGCAGATACGGTTCCTAGTATATACTTTGGAGAATGCAATCTTCAGCCTACCTGAAGGCCAAGAAAAAATGGTATGGCTGATAGATTTCACTGGATGGACAGTGGCCCATGCTTCGCCCATAAAAACTTCTAGAGAAACTGCAAATATCCTGCAAAATCATTTTCCTGAAAGGCTAGCCATTGGATTTCTATTTAATCCCCCAAAAGTATTTGAAGCTTTTTATAAGGTAAGTGCTTTCGACCTTTATGCATCTATCTGATTTTAATCATAATCACAATAAATGAAAAAACATGTAGTGTTGATACAGACAAAAAATTGCATTTCATTCTTCCAACTTAAATGTTTCAAATTCTTTCAGGTTATCAAAATTTTCCTTGATCCAAAATCTATTGAGAAGGTGAACTTCGTGTACCAGAAGGATGAGGAGAGCATGAAGGTCATGTATAAATACATTGATCCGGAAGTACTTCCTGTAGAGTTTGGGGGCAAGAACAATGTGGTGTACAACCACGAGGAGTACTCTGAGTTAATGATACAAGATGACATCAAAACAGCAAACTTTTGGGCGGTTGATGCGAAAACTGACCATGCTAACCCTGCCATCAATGGGACCTTGGTTCCTGAGGTTGCACCACAGCCATCGTTGCTTGCTGCTAAAGCTAGTTGAAGAGTATCTGCTTTGTATGAGCAAATTGAGAAGTGGTGGGGTAACAGAATCTTGAGAGAAATAAATGAAATAAGAAGCATGGTATACTCGTTCGTCCTCAAAAGTTGTTCCAATACTGGAAGTTTATTCAGCATATAAGGTACCGCCCAGTTGTTGTACTTAAATCATTACTGAATAAGTACTCCTATGTGTCAGTGATTATCGCTTAGCTTAACCATTTTTTCTCTTATTCCTTGTTCTATATGTTTCTCTTTTCACTAATCGAGTGTTTCTTTTGATGGTTTAAAGGCTTTAAGCTCCGTCCTACTACTAACTCTGCTTGAAACAGCAAGTGTCTCTTTCATTAAATGGCATAGAAGAAACTCTGAAAAAAAAAACTCTGCAGCCTATGAATTGCTTCTGTTTCTTTCCTGGTGTTTCGTCTTCTGTTGTCAGATGTCTACAGTTTTGAAATTTTTGTGACGGTAATTTCATTAACGAAATGAAGACGTGAGGAGCTGGGGGGAAAGGGTGAGGAGCTGAGGGGGAAAGGACGTGGGAAAGGAGTAGGGAATAGTTGATGGTGCCATTATTACTAAGGCTTGGTGACAAAAAAAAATGGCTTCGTATACTCATCACTTGAGTATGGTGTTCCCACACTCGATCCTTTTGTATTGCGTCTTCTTTCTCCTCCTCCCCCTCCCCCCCACCCCAAAGCGCCGTTGCCGCCCACTGCCCTGCTGCGACGCAGTAGAATCTCACGGGAGCTCCGTCAAGACCCCTACTGCACCCGCGGCGGACGCCTTCTTCCCTTCCTCCCCCCGCCGCCATGGTCATGGGTGCCCCCGCCATGACCTGGCCCAACCGGTTCCTACGCTGCCGGAACCCTAATCGCCGCCCTCCCGCTGTCCCCACCGCCTGGCTGGCCTGCCTCCCAAAAAAATTCTTCTAAGGCCGTCGAATTTTGAGAAGAAGAGGGAGAGAGAAAGAGAAGAGGTCGAATGAGTGTTGGATTGCTCTAAAGCACTCCAGTGTTGTATAGAATTACCGTAAGAAAATAGGGGCAAAGGATGATGGAAGGACTAGGGAAAAGCTTGGTGATAAAAAAAAGGTCATACGACAAATTTGTGCAGTTCACATGAAAAATTAAAAAAAATACAGTTCACCTAAAAGGATTTTGAGAAGAGACGGAGAGAAAGAGAAGAGATCGAATGAGTGTTAGATTGCTCTAAAACACTCGAGTGTTGTATAGAATTATCGTAAGAAATAGGGGAAAGGATGATGGAAGGAGCAGGGAAAAGTAGGGAAGTAGGGAAAAGCTTGGTGATAAAAAAAAAGGTCACACGACCAAATTTGTCCAGTTCACACAAAAAATTAAAAAAATTGTGCAATTCACCTGAAAAAAAAAACTGGTTTGCGCCAGGGAGGGTTCGAACCTTCGACTTTTTGTTTAGGAAACAAACGCTCTATCCGCTGAGCTACAGGCGCCATGCATTATAATACTCCCGTCACTTGCTATTGGGCCGGGCCAGTACAGCACCAAGAGCTATCCCAACAGAGATTTGCAGATTTGGCCTTTTCATAAAGGCCCCATCAAGTTGTTGGCCTTTTCTGAACGTTTCTGGCCCACCTAGGATGGCGCTATCCGCCGGTCCGCCCCCACTTAACATCAAACTCGCACGGAAAACAAAGAAATTCAAAGTGAGAAAAAGAAAATGGCAAGCATGAATGAAAAGAACATTTCTGCTATGATCAACAATGAAACAATCAATTACAGTAGGGAGGAGAAAAAGAATCAGGTCGCCATTCTTTCTTTAATCGATAGGAGGAAAATGAGAAAATGGACAGAAGTGACAGACTTCCAACTGTGAAGAATTTTTCACTGCGCCGACTGCATGCCATTGTCGTCAACCAAGGTACACCAACGACGGACATGCCACCATTGCTACTTCCCCCAAAAATGATTACCATGGCACCAGTGTGCTGTTGTGAAGCCATTGACTAGAAGAGAGAATTCACATTCCTGACTTTTTGGACGAAAGAATTCTATCAGAATCAGACAGCGGAGCTCTAACAGAGCCCTTCTCCATAGGGATTCCCTCTTTACCGAAAAATGATTAGAAAGAAAGATTCCCCTTCATCCTTAATCCTCGGTGTCACGAGAGCCGGACGGCTCGGGGAAGATCTCCTTGGATTGCCTCCTGCGGGAGGAAGAATGATCCCCATTGCTCCCGCCAGACGATTTGATTGTCTCTGAACGTTTCAGAATGTTGTCGTCCCTAGAAGGACCTATATCAGACGAGCTATGCCGCCAACTCCCAAAGAGTGCAGCGTTCCATGAACCCCGTGACGATGTTGCTCTCAACCTGGCCGAGCTATTGCCATTATCTTCTCTCACCACCTTCAAAGGGTTCTCTAGTGCTTTTAGGATGTACTTCATCGGTGGGCGTTTAGAAGACCGAGGATTCAAGCAGGACTTGGCAACAATCGCCATTGCCCAGACTTCCTCCAGATGGTCCTCATCAATGATAAGCGTTGGATCAATGATCTTGCCCATAAGCTCCTTCTCGTAAATATTGACGTACCGCAGGGTGGCATCAAGCCAATCGCTTGTGGCAGCATCATTTGATGCACTGATACCAAGTCTCCCTGTCACCAGCTCCAGTAAAACTTTTCCAAAGCAATAGACATCATATGGGCAAGTTGCAGATGGGGAACCTGTTTACAGAGAAAATTGGTCAATGAACTTGCATAAAGTAAAAAGTAGAATTAGAGACAATGTTCAAAGCATTTTTCACAGACAAATAGGACAGCTGAGCCATCAATTTTAGCGTGAAACTGAGGACTAATGACCAATTTTCAAGATTAAAAATGCTTGAAAGCAATGAAAGGTTGCACGCACAAACTCACCAGAAGAACCTTGATCTGCCGTCCTGCATTCCCACAAAAATAAAGCATCAGGAGATGGAAAGGGACTTATTTGATATTAGAAAATGAAACTACACCAAGGAAGCATTTGATAATGTAACTATCAACTAAAACAAGGATACTACATGTCCATTGACAATAAGATATGGCAAGTAAAATGAAACGAAAGGAAATAAAATAGTTCACGATTACCTACGCTCTCATGGACCTACAAGCACTAGTTTTATCGCACTTAGGCCAGTCTCAGTGGAGGTTTCATGACCCAGTTTCCAACACATCCATATTATGGAAACAGTGTACCATGAAACTCTCTCTACTCTCATGAAACTTTCATCATCTCTCTCTTCATCAATACAGTGACATGTCAGCGTATTTAATTATCATGAAACTCTATGAAACCCCCCATTGAGATTGGCCTTATTGACATCATTTAGATTTTGCATAGTGCCACAGCACAGCGTCAACACGACAAAGATCAGGCCAAGAAACAGCAGGTTCACTTAGTAATTGACTGGAATTATGTTGACAACACGCTATTTAAATTCACCAAATATTCATATATTCATTTAAAAAGGTAATCCATCTAAATTCATGCTACAAAACAGGTAAATACTAATTTCATGGCTAACACTTGAACAAACTACCGTTGAAACAGGATGGTGCAATAGTGAATACAATATAAGTATGGATTTGCATGCTTCACAAAGGAAGTATGTAGTGGGAAAAGAGAGACGAGCCATGCAGAGATGGTGTCTGAAACTTACGAAGAAAATCTTAACAGCTTTGTGATTACATTTTGGTGACCTTCCCCTTCTTGAGGACACACCTCACTCAAGCTACCAAGGCGCACATCAAATTTATCATCAAGAAGGACACTGCTGGCTTGCACATCCCTGTAGTAGAGAACCGACAAAATTAGTCAACAGCAAGCGTTCGCATTGCATCTAATTTATTGGTCTTGGAAGGAAGCGTCTACGCAGTCAGAATCCTTCGTGTTGCCATATAGAACTGACAAAACGACAAAACAATCAGAATTGATTGCGATCTACTGCGTACCGCACATTTATAACAAAACAAAAAATCCCTGGTGAAATCAGGGTGACGAAGAACTCCCCGTTATTTTTATGGCAAAATCGGTGGGTATTTAAATGATATAGACCAGCAGAAACATCTCAGCAAAGATATTAAAGCAAATAACAGCAGTGTCCACATTGAATTTCCAGTACTCAGATAACACACGGAATATGTCGCGTCAAGCACCAAACACTAATTTTCTGATTCAGCATTACTGGCACACATTAGCATATGTTCAATGTATTCCTAGCTGTCACCGAATCTATGTTGATAGTTTATTGCAGTAATTGTTGAAACCTCCGGTACCAAAAGGGCGTACCCAGTGCAGAGAGGTACCAAAACGAAGAAAATCAATTATCAGAGCACCCACAGTGAAACACACATAGTGGAGACCGACTGTCAACCACTAAACCCCATGTAATGATAAAGATTGAATTTCTAAGGTAATTCTAAAACTTTATCATCGTATAAACAAAAATAATTTGCTAACAGATACACAGTAAACAAATGTAACATCGACAAAACTACATAGAAGTTTATACCTGTGAACCATTGGTGGAGAACACTCATGATGCAGATAGCAAAGAGCCTCAGCTACACCCGTTGCAATCTTCAGCCTCTTTATCCAGTCCAAAGATTGCATGCCCTCATCTTCCTCCCTTGACTTTCTGTACAGTGCACTGGACAGATCACCATTTCGGACAAACCTATACACAAGAACCTTTTCTTCTTCTTTATCAAGGCAGTGCCCCAGGAAAGGAACCAGCCTTTCATGCAATCCTTTCGTAAACAAATCTAATTCTGCCAGATATGCATCCTTCCGAGCCACGCGCGAAGTGATCCTCTTCACCACCACGGCAGTACCGTCTTGGAGAACACCATGGTATAGATCACCTGAGTGACCGTGCTTGATGAGCCTCTCTTCCCCAAATCCCGAGGTGGCATTGGCAAGTTGGTCGTAAGCAAATGAATCGCCGACTTTTGCCGTGTTTGCGGACAATGCAGAAGGCTGTGTGCCACCAGTAGCAGCAGCTGTGCCGGTAGCTGACACTCCCGATGGTGCACTTGGTGATGCCCCACTTTCCCTCTGATCATTCCTCCTCCCTGTCCTCCCAGAACACACAAAGCAGAACACAATGGCTGCAACCACGGCTATCAGCAGGAGGCCTCCACCAATGGCCCCGATCAGTATGTACTTCAGATTATTGTGCTTCTTCCTTGCCGATGATGATGCAGGCTGTGGTGCGGGTGGGATAACTGGACCATCATATGCCAAACCACGCCTGGCATAAAACTGCTGGCAATCAGCCTGGGTACGCTGTCCCAGAACGTCAAGAAAGCAATTCAACTGAAACGAAACATTGCCGCCGCCGCCATCGGACACTCCTAGCTTGCCGTCGAAGTAGTTCCCAGAAATATTGGCCAGCAGCACCTGGGCGAACAGCCGGCGAAAGGTCTCTGGCACGACGTCATAGAAGAAATTCCTTGACAGATCCACCACCTGCACATTGGCTGGCAGCGCAAGCCCTGCCGTGGGCAATGCGCCGGTGAGGTTGTTACGAGACACGTCCAGAACGCTGAGCCCCGGGAGCGACCAGACCGCGTCGGGCAGGGCGCCCGAAAACGCATTGCCCGAGAGGTTGAGGGTCCTGAGCCGCGTGAGCCTCGAGAGCGCGGTGGCCGGCAGTTGCCCAGACAGTTGGTTGCCTGCGAAGTTGAGGGTGGTGAGGTTGCCGAGGCCGACGAGCGCGGAGGCCGGGATCTCTCCGGAGACGGCGCAGACGGAGATGTCGAGGGACTGGAAAGTGGGCGCGAGCCCGGCGCCTAGCCACGCCGGGATGGAGCCGGGGAGCCCGAAGCCCGCGGCGTTGAAGGCCTCGAGCCGCGTGAGGTTGCGCAGCCCGTCGACGTCGAAGCGCGGCGACAGGCGGCCCAGCCGCGTGCGCCGCAGCCCGACGAGGTTGAGCGAGACGACGCGGCCGGCGCGGCAGCCGACGCCCGCCCACGCCGTGCACGGGTCCGCATGCCGTGGCCAGTCCCGCGCCCTGAGGCCGAGCGAGCCCCGCAGCGCGTACAGCCCAACGAGATCCGACCGCGACGTCAGGTTCCCCTGCGCCAGCACCGCCCCGGGCGCCGCCGCCGCCGCCGCCAGCGCAACGAGCAGCAGCGCCCAGAGCCCGCGCGCGCGCTCGCGCATCATCACCTCGAGCGCCACCTCCTGCCGATGCCGATGCCGCCGCCGCCGCCGTCCCCCATGTCCACTCCGCGTTACAGGTGTCGATGAGATTGGGGAGGAGGCGGAAGCGCTGGAATTCGGAGCGAAATTAAAACGCAATAAAGGCGGAGGGGGGGCAGAGGCCGAGCTACAGGGCGCCACCACCAGAGACAGAGAGGCCTCCCTTGGGCTGGGGGTCTCTCACCACCCCACCATTAATGCCCAAAGTTACACTCCCCCAACTGCCTCCCAATTATTACTCCTCGACTTCTCCCTCCTCCGATTCGAACCCAGCACGAGCAGCACCCAAACTCCGCACCTCTCGAGCTCGCCCGCGGCGGCCACGGCGGCGCCGGCGAGCGCAGAGCAAGCAGTAGACGCGCCGGCGGCTGCGGCGGCGGGCGCGGCCGGAGCTGGGGAAGAGAGAGATGATGAGAGGAGAGGAGACGAACTGGAGGAGGGACGAAGCCGGTGCGCTTGTATTGCGGGGTTTTGTTTTGCGCAAGGAAGGAGGAAGCTGTTAAGGGCTCGTTAGTTTTCAGCAAAATGACACCCAAAATCATTCTAGGCCAGTTTAGATTGTCTCAAAATTTTTAAGTTTTTACTCTCTCTTCATTACATTAATTTTTAGACGTATGTATGGAGCATTAAATGTAGATAAAAAAATAACTAATTACATAGTTTGGTTATAAATCACGAGACGAATCTTTTAAGCCTAGTTAGTCTATGATCGGATAAAATTTGTCAAATACAAACGAAACATGCTACAGCATCCAGATTACAAAAATTTACAATCTAAACAAGACCCTAGCTAACAAAAACTTATACAAATTAACTAACGATATTCTTCCCGGAGGTGATTTCCGGGAAACGAACGGGGCCTAAATGTTTTGAAATTCTCGGGGGCTTTGAATGGGGCCTAAATGTTTTGAAATTCTCGGGGGCTTTGAATGGAAGGGTTTGTTTTTGCTTCCTTCCTCTGCGCTGTCCGCGATTTGGTGCCACGTTCGGTTGTTTTTTTTAGCACAACCAGAGGCCGAACCCGCTGGGTGTTCGTGGTTTCTGGGATCGCGAGGAGCCGAGCGCGGATGATGAGCGCCGTGCCAGCGGTGTGATGAACTGGTGCGCGGTGGGTTGGTCGGGTGGGTGCGGGCGTTTAGTGGCCGGTTCCGGGGGTTCGGTGGGGTTTTTGATGGGATGGATGGGCATAGCGGACGGGGAGGATCGGGGAGGAGGGTCAACGAGGCTGCTGCTTTGGCTTGTGGTCGAGTCAACCGGCTCTGCGGCTGGGAGCGGCCGGCGTGGCAGCACGGGCGGCCTGCGGGGTTGTGGATCGTGGGCGGCCGCCGGCCGGTGGATTTCTCATTTCTGGTTCGGGTTTTTTTTTCTTCTGCGCCCTGCGGCCCCTGCCCAGCCGATCTACCTGCTGGGTACAGCGACATTCGATGCACGGTAAACATGGAACACTGCTAATGTTACAGGTTGTAGAATGTGCGTGATTCTTCCTCAGTGCTACTATCTGTGTTTGTATATTGTGTTTGGACTTTTCACTGCCTGACGAATTAGTAGCACGTGAGTACTGTATCACCCAGGGCTGTCCATTTTCTGGAGCATTAAACTGGCTAGATCTAAGCATTCACTGGGCTGTGGGCTGCAATAGCTGCGGTGATTTGGCTATCTGTGTTCTGTTTGCATGTGCTCCGGTAAAATTGGTAGGTAAACATAGTGCATTAGCAATTCCCTTTTTAGGAAGATCATTAGTATATACACCAAGATCCAAGCATTTTGATGAGCTGGGACACCTTACAGAATTCTAGTACTAGCTGTATTCGGAGCGAATCCTGCAGCAACTGCTCATATTTTTACAGCTAATAAAACGTTGGAGTAACATCCACTCATCCAGACTTTCAGCCACAGGGCGGCAGGCCAGCCCATATCTCGAATCTCGATGCAGGCGTACTGCGACGTACTAGACGTACTAGTACGTCGCAAAAGACCCTGGTCTAACCAGCCGATCTGCAGCTTATTCGGTGATTAGATCGTAGATTATTACTGCTGATTAATTTGATGTGAGAGAAAAATATTATTCTGGTTGAAAATTTACGATTATTTACGACCAGCGAACATGCTGCTGGCACCACGGAGAATCCACCTGGCGGCTGCTTACGTGGAGCCACCATGCGCCCTCTCGTCTCGCCGATGCGTGGAGTGGAGCTCAGAACGTACGTGCGGTCACGGGCGACAAGGCGAGACGGGATCCACACCGCGCACCCCCGCCTACGCGGCAGCGGCGTCCGTCGCGCGAGGACTCCGAGAAAACCACCTGACGTGCCCATGGCCCGACTGGTGGCTGCCGCCGCCTGCCGCCCTGCCGTCCCCGCGGCGGCTGCTGCTGGAGACAGGAGCATGGAAAGCGCGGAGGAGTGGAAGCATCTGGCATCTGCACGTCCGCGCGCGGGGCGCACGGGGGAATGTTCCGCTGCAGGCTGGTGCCTGCGCCCTCTTGGATTTTTGCCGCGCACTTCCTTTCGACTTGACCGCTTCTCCTGCACCGCGTGGTCGTGCCTAGGCCAACGTGTTTCACTGTTTCTTCTCTTCCGCTTTGGATGCATCGTGGTTTGCGTTGTATCTGCGTGGGAAACTGGAGAGATGATGCCCAGCACCTGCTCCTCATCAAAATTCAAAAGAACGATGCTTTTCTGGAGTATTTGGATCCTATCCTATCGGTCAAGATATCCCTAGATGAGGGATGATTATAGGCTGATATCGAACTGACACTATCTAAAGGAACAAGAACCCAGTAGCAAAGTCAGCACAATACGTCACTGTGGCCATCAACCCTGCCAGTTAGGGTCAGCACTAGAGGACTCATAATTACTAAATAATATAATTTATTTACTAATAATAAAGATTAGAAGATATGGACAAACTTGTCCAATGGATTTTTACGAATGGGCTTAAACCATCTATAGAGAATATCCCTGTTCAAGTCGCATGCGACACAACCGTTGCTCATACAAGAATGCAATCTCCCATTCATGGATATCCACTAAACCAAACACAACCCTAGTAATAGTAATTTTAGACTGAATTTTTGAAAACCATCAGGGTTAGCTGAACCCAGCAAAAGGGCCTGGCTCCACCCAAAAGAACCCATCTATTTTATGAATAAGTGACCAGTTTGTTTTCACGTTTTCTATGTTATTCCTTCATGTTCGCTTGGGATTGGGAAGGAAGAGGGGACATTTATCATCTTCTCCACGCCTAATCTATTGTCGGGAGACGAGTAGGATCCAAAAGGGAGACGGGCCATTTATCATTTTCTCCACATCTAGTCTATTACTGGGAGGAATGTGGATCAGGGAGTTCACGATGAAATCTATGAGCTTGTTCGGCTGATGGTTTCTGCGGCTGATAAGCCGGCTGAAGCTGTTTTGTTGTGAGAGAAAAAACACTGTACTATGATCGATAAGCTCAAGCGAACAGGGTTGTAAAAACTTGAATTTTATCGAGACTTGTGCAACGAGGAAAGGCTGACGTAAGGCCCACTAAGAACTTGTTTGAATTTCCCCCAATGTCCTCCAATCCTCTAGAATTAGAGACTAAAATCGAACAAGCCTGGGTCGGGACGGTACAAAATGGCTACTGAGACGAAGTGGATCATGAAGGCTTCTGTAGCTCGTCTATGATCTAATCAGAACTCTAGCGAGTTCCTATTCCTAATTGCTGCGCCAAGATAGTGGCATCCGTGAGGTGGCAAACTGGCAACGGGGTCGTAGAACTCGGGGGAAGAAGCAACAAGTGCTTGTTTGGTATAGCTTATAAGCTGTCTATGGTGAAAATAAGTTGAAACCAACAACCTAACATGACGCTTTTTGTAGCTTATTTCGGCCGTGTTTATTTCCACCGCTTTTATTTGTGCTAAAAAACAGAAACTAGATCATACTGGTTTATTTTGATCGCTCTCTTTTACTCTATTTGTACAGCTTATCAAACGTTTTTCACCTAAGCTAAGGCCAATGTCCACTTTGTTTTCTACCCGCTGGGAAGCGGGAACTTGAACTATGTTTTCCTTAAGAAAATTTATGCGTTTTTTTCCTTTTGATGACATAGTAGCAGGTGTACCTTTGTTTATTCCCAACAGAGCCGCAGAGGGGCACACTACTTTCATACAGTATTTCCTTTCGGAGAACACCACAGACATGTACGTGCCAACAAGATTTGGTTCCACTGTGCAGCTGAGATCTGCGTGGACCCATGCATACACAACAAGCCACTCGCTAGAAGGCGTCGTGTTAGTTGAAGTGTCCGGTGAAAATGCATGTGCTTGAGGTGGATGCAATGTTATTCTGATCATATTCTGACCTTAAACAAGCCATATATGTTGATTGAAAAAAAAAGAGCAGGTCCCAGTTGTAAAATGGGCTGCATTTTTATAGACTAGGATAGGAAGGGTTTAGGTGCACGCAGCGTTCCTGAGGACGATCGAGCTGCCCACATCATGCCAATCCATCCATCTTCTGCCTGTAATCTACCAACCGCGGCCTGCTGCACTGGAGTACTACACGCAGCTGCTTCTGTCTGAGATGCGTGATGTATCATGAACTCATGATCGGTCTCTCCATTACTGGTGATGCAGTTAGCCTAAGCTTAAACTAACACTAACTTGCATGCTTCGTACGTACAGTACGTGTCAACGTGCATGGTCGAGACTTTTTGTGACTTTGAGTGATTGAGTCAAGGAAGTGAGCGTAGCCGAATTTATTGGGATGGTAGGCGTGTGTCAATGAATCCATTCTGATTTGTGTCTATTCAACTTCAAAATTAGATGCCCATTTTTTCTTATTAATAAAAAAGTCATCAACTACTTTCTATCTCGGTTCTAGAATTTGTTTTGTCCCGTAAGTAAAAAGGATGCTTTATATTTACATCTTTTGGAAAACAAAATTACTCCTTGTATAACATCAATATACCCGAGTATCAGA